TATCCTTCCCCTTCCCCCGTATCCTTCCCCATCCCCCGTATCCTTCCCCATCCCCCGTATCCTTCCCCATCCCCCGTATCCTTCCCCTTCCCCCGTATCCTTCCCCTTCCCCCGTATGCTTCCCCTTCCCCGTATCCTTCCCTTCCCCTTCCCCCCCGTATCCTTCCCCTTCCCCCGTATCCTTCCCCATCACCCGTATCCTTCCCCATCCCCCGTATCCTTCCCCTTCCCCCGTATCCTTCCCCTTCCCCCGTATCCTTCCCCTTCCCCCGTATCCTTCCCCTTCCCCCGTATCCTTCCCCTTCCCCCGTATCCTTCCCCATCCCCCGTATCCTTCCCCATCCCCCGTATCCTTCCCCATCCCCCGTATCCTTCCCCTTCCCCCGTATCCTTCCCCATCCCCCGTATCCTTCCCCTTCCCCCGTATCCTTCCCCTTCCCCCGTATCCTTCCCCATTCCCCGTATCCTTCCCCATCCCCCGTATCCTTCCCCTTCCCCCGTATGCTTCCCCTTCCCCCGTATCCTTCCCCTTCCCCCGTATCCTTCCCCTTCCCCCGTATCCTTCCCTTCCCCCGTATCCTTCCCCATCCCCCGTATCCTTCCCCATCCCCCGTATCCTTCCCCATCCCCCGTATCCTTCCCCTTCCCCCGTATCCTTCCCCATCCCCCGTATCCTTCCCCATCCCCCGTATCCTTCCCCATCCCCCGTATCCTTCCCCTCCCCCGTATCCTTCCCCTTCCCCCGTATCCTTCCCCATCCCCCGTATCCTTCCCCATCCCCCGTATCCTTCCCCTTCCCCCGTATCCTTCCCCTTCCCCCGTATCCTTCCCCATCCCCCGTATCCTTCCCCTTCCCCCGTATCCTTCCCCTTCCCCCGTATCCTTCCCCTTCCCCCGTATCCTTCCCCTTCCCCCGTATCCTTCCCCATCCCCCGTATCCTTCCCCTTCCCCCGTATCCTTCCCCATCCCCCGTATCCTTCCCCATCCCCCGTATCCTTCCCCTTCCCCCGTATCCTTCCCCTTCCCCCGTATCCTTCCCCATCCCCCGTATCCTTCCCCATCCCCCGTATCCTTCCCCATCCCCCGTATCCTTCCCCATCCCCCGTATCCTTCCCCTTCCCCCGTATCCTTCCCCTCCCCCGTATCCTTCCCCCCCCCGTATCCTTCCCCTTCCCCCGTATCCTTCCCCATCCCCCGTATCCTTCCCCATCCCCCGTAACCTTCCCCTCCCCCGTATCCTTCCCCTTCCCCCGTATCCTTCCCCTTCCCCCGTATCCTTCCCCTTCCCCCGTATCCTTCCCCATCCCCCGTATCCTTCCCCTCCCCCGTATCCTTCCCCATCCCCCGTATCCTTCCCCATCCCCCGTATCCTTCCCCATCCCCCGTATCCTTCCCCATCCCCCGTATCCTTCCCCTTCCCCCGTATCCTTCCCCTTCCCCCGTATCCTTCCCCATCCCCCGTATCCTTCCCCTTCCCCCGTATCCTTCCCCTTCCCCCGTATCCTTCCCCTTCCCCCGTATCCTTCCCCTTCCCCCGTATCCTTCCCCATCCCCCGTATCCTTCCCCATCCCCCGTATCCTTCCCCATCCCCCGTATCCTTCCCCTTCCCCCGTATCCTTCCCCTTTGATGGCTGAGATGGGCGGGCACAAGGAGTCTGTGATGGAGATACCCGTAGAGCGCGCATACAGCAAGCTCACGTACAAGAGCGACGTGCACCGGGTGCAGAGAGTTGGTGTGAGACATCTCAATACAAACTGCACCGCATAGCCCCTCCCCCCCTTCGCAGGGCCCCTCCTCCCCCCCCGCCCCCCTGGTCCCTCAACAGGCTGAGATGGCTGAGATGGCTGAGATGGGCAGGCATAAGGAGTATGTGATGGAGATAGCCGGAGGGCACGCGTACAGCATGCTCAAGTACGAAAGCAACGCGCACGGGGTGCAGAGAGTGTTGTGAGACGTCGTACAATGCTCTTGGTCCTCATCCTCCCCCTCCCCCTCACCCGCCTGTTTCTTCTTCCCTTCAAAGGCTGAGATGGGTGGGTTCAAGGAGTACGTTATGGAGATAGCCGGAGAGCGCGTGTACAGCAAGCTCAAGTACGAGAGCGGCGTGCACCGCGTGCAGAGAGTGCCGGCCACCGAGTCAGCAGGCAGAGTGCACACGTCTACAGCTACTGTCGCTATCATGCCTGAGGTAAGAGGGGGGGTGGGGCGGGAGGGCAGAACGTAAACAGGGAGGAGGCAGCTGACCCTTTCCACAACAAACCCACCAGCATCCCTCCCTCCGTCCCTCCCCCCTCCCTTGCGCTTCCCACCTCCGTCCCCTCCTGTGTCAACAGATCGACAAGGTGCAGGTGGTCATTGATCCCAAGGATCTTGAGCCGACAACAGCATGACTGGGAGGAGCGGTGGGGAGAAGGTGAACACAAGGAGGCGACGGCTGCTGACCTCTTCCCCTACTCCATCAGCATCCCGCCCTCCCTCCCGCCCTTGCCCCTCCTTGCTCTTGTTAACAGATAGACGAGGTGCAGGTAGTTATCGATCCCAAGGGCATGGAGCTGACAACAGCACGATTATGCGGGGCGGGAGAGCAGACCGTGAAAAAGGTGGAGACAGCTGCTGACCTCTTCCCCTAGCCCACCAGCATACCCCCCTCCCTCCCGCCCTTGCCCTTCCCTGCCCCTGTACAGATAGATGAGGTGGAGGTGGTCATCGATCCCACGGGCATCGAGTTGACAACAGCATGATTAGGCGGGTCGGGAGGGCAGGCAGACCATGAAAAAGGCGGAGACAGCTGCTGACCTCTTCCCCTAGTGCTCTGGCAATGGCATCCCTCCCTCCCTCCCCCCCTCCCTCCTTCAGGTTAACAGATCGACGAGGTGGAGGTGGTCATTGATCCCAAGGACGTTGAGTTGACAACAGCACGATTAGGCGGGGCGGGCAGGCAGAACGTGAACAAGGTGGAGACGGCGGCCGACCTCTTCCACAAGCCCACGGGCATCCCTCCCCCTCTCTACTTCCTGCTGTCCACTGTGCCCCTGCCCCTGTGTCCTGCCAACAGATACACGAGGTGGAGGTGGTGATCCATCCAAAAGATATTGAGCTAACCACCGCACGGTCAGGAGGGGCGGAGCACAGAACGAGAACAGGGTGGAGGCGGCTGCTGACCTCGTCCACAAGCCCACCGGCATGCCTCCTTCACTCCCTTGCGCCTCCCACCCTCTTCCCCTCTCGTGCCAACAGATAGACGAGGTGGAGGTGGTAATTGATCCCAAGGACATTGAGCTGACAACCGCGCGATCAGGCGGGGCGGGAGGGCAGAACGTGAACAAGGTGGAGACGGCGGCGGACCTCTTCCACAAGCCCACCGGGATCCGCATCTTCTGCACGGAGGAGCGCTCGCAGCTGAAGAACAAGATCAGGGCCATGCAGCTGCTGCGCGCCAAGCTGTGAGTCTTGGGGGCAGCTGGGATGGTGGTGGGAGTGGGGAGGTACGGTACGGATCACACAAGCATGCATACAGGCCTCTCGGCACCCACTGGCATCCGCATCTTCTGCACGGAGGAGCGCTCACAGCTGAATACAAGATCCGCGCCATGCAGCTGCTGCGCGCCAAGCTGTGAGTCTTGGGGGTGGGTGGGATGGTGGTGGGAGTGGGGGAGGTATGGGTCATGCTACAACACGCGTACAGGCCTCTTGGTGTCAAGCCCACTGGCATCCGCATCGTTTGCACAGAGAGGCGGTTGCAGCTGAACAATACGATCAGAGCCATGCAGCTGCTGTGCGCCCAGCTGTGAGTAGCTCACGTGGCTAAGGTGGCTCAGGTGGCTCAGGTGGCTCAGGTGGCTCAGGTGGCTCAGGTGGCTCACGTGGCTCAGGTGGCTCAGGTGGCTCAGGTGGCTCAGGTGGCTCAGGTGGCTCAGGTGCATACGAGCATGTCAAGAACAAGATCCGATGCAGCTGCTGTGCGCCAAGCTGATTTTTGAGAATTCTCAAAAATGACTCCTCAGCTGCTGTGTGCCAAGCTGATTCCCCCTGTGGCAGGTACAAGTGCATGCTGCAGGAGCAACTAGACGCAACTAGGGTCTAGGGTGCACTAAAGTGGTACGGCCTACAGGCTACAGCGGGTGAATCATAGGATTCCGGCGATTCACTCTGGTGTTTTCTCATCTCCCCCCCTGGCAGGTACGAGATCATGCTGCAGGAGCAGCAGGACGAAGTCAGCTCTCGCAGGCGATCGCAGGTGAGGAGAGAGAGGACGGGGAGGAGTGGGATGAGGGGGAGGAGAGGAGGGGGCGGTGGGGAGGGGGGGGGAGGCGGGATGGGGTGGGGACATGGGAAGGGGGGTGGGGGGGAGGGGGAAGGGGGGAGGGCATTGGGTGATGGTAGGGGCGGTGAGCCCTGAGGCCTCCTGTAACCATCTTTCAGGTCCCCTTGGGCCAGGACATTGACGTATCTGCTGCTATGTTGACCACATTGACCTCACGGCTTGCTCGCTCACTCGTGCCCATCACAGCGAGCTTTGATCTCAACTCTCCTACTTCAATCGAATCATCCTCCCGTCACTCCTCTTTACCTTCCATCACACACCACCCACCCTTTCCTCCCCTGCAATCCTTCCCCCCCTCCCCTCTCCACGCACTACCTGTGCAGGTTGGCACGGGCTCACGATCAGAGAAGATTCGAACGTACAACTACAAGGTGTGTGAGCGTGCCATGCAGTGCTGTTATTATGTCGTTATCCCTAGTGTGGTTTGGCTGCGGATGCCGTATCTAAAGCCAGGTAGGAGCAGGAGCAGGAGGCGGGAGGGAGAAGAGCAGCAGCTTAGTGGAGGTGGGGAGGAGGTACGGATTGGGGTGGAGGTACGGATTGGTGTGGAGGTACGGATTGGGGTGGAGGTACGGATTGGGGTGGAGGTACGGATTGGGGTGGAGGTACGGATTGGGGTGGAGGTACGGATTGGGGTGGAGGTGCGGATTGGGGTGGAGGTATGGATTGGGGTGGAGGTACGGATTGGGGTGGAGGTACGGATTGGGGTGGAGGTACGGATTGGGGTGGAGGTACGGATTGGGGTGGAGGTACGGATTGGTGTGGAGGTACGGATTGGGGTGGAGGTACGGATTGGGGTGGAGGTACGGATTGGGGTGGAGGTACGGATTGGGGTGGAGTTACGGATTGGGGTGGAGGTACGGATTGGGGTGGAGGTACGGATTGGGGTGGAGGTACGGATTGGGGTGAAGGTACGGATTGGGGTGGAGGTACGGATTGGGGTGGAGGTACGGATTGGGGTGGAGGTACGGATTGGGGTGGAGGTGCGGATTGGGGTGGAGGTACGGATTGGGGTGGAGGTACGGATTGGGGTGGAGGTACGGATTGGGGTGGAGGTACGGATTGGGGTGAAGGTACGGATTGGGGTGGAGGTACGGATTGGGGTGGAGGTACGGATTGGGGTGGAGGTACGGATTGGGGTGGAGGTGCGGATTGGGGTGGAGGTACGGATTGGGGTGGAGGTACGGATTGGGGTGGAGGTACGGATTGGGGTGGAGGTGCCGAAAGGGAAACAGTGTGTCGGACCATCGCACCAAGATCCACTGTGCTTTGCTGCACGCAAAACATGCCTCTCGATGCATACCTCTCAATGCATGCCTCTCGATGCATGTGTGATGCTGGACGCTGGACTTATCTCATTGCATCCGGGTTTGCATCCCCACCAGGGAGGGCAACTGTGGGTAGGACCATTGCACCAAGGTCGATCCTGTTTAGCCGCATCTGAGACTTATCCCTCTATCTGTGTGGTGCTGCGTGTGACCCCTGGCCCTCTATGTGCAATCGCACCCCCACCAGGACAACCGAGTGTCAGACCATCGCACCAAGATCAACTATGACCTCGGGTCGTTCCTCAACGGCGATATTGACAATGCGATCCAGGTGAGATTGGCAATGCGATCCAGGTGAGATTGGCAATGCGATCCAGGTGAGATTGGCAATGCGATCCAGGTGAGATTGGCAATGCGATCCAGTTGAGATTGACAATGCGATCCAGGTGAGATTGGCAATGCGATCCAGGTGAGATTGACAATGCGATCCAGGTGAGCTGGGCAATGCGATCCAGTTGAGATTGACACATGCGATCCAGGTGAGATTGGCAATGCGATCCAGGTGAGATTGGCAATGCGATCCAGGTGAGCTTGGCAATGCGATCCAGGTGAGATTGGCAGTGCGATCCAGGTGAGATTGGCAATGCGATCCAGGTGAGATTGGCAATGCGATCCAGGTGAGATTGGCAATGCGATCCAGGTGAGATTGACAATGCGATCCAGGTGAGATTGGCAACGCGATCCAGTTGAGATTGGCAATGCGATCCAGGTGAGATTGGCAATGCGATCCAGGTGAGATTGACAATGCGATCCAGGTGAGCTGGGCAATGCGATCCAGTTGAGATTGACACATGCGATCCAGGTGAGATTGGCAATGCGATCCAGGTGAGATTGGCAATGCGATCCAGGTGAGCTTGGCAATGCGATCCAGGTGAGATTGGCAGTGCGATCCAGGTGAGATTGGCAATGCGATCCAGGTGAGATTGACAATGCGATCCAGGTGAGATTGACAATGCGATCCAGGTGGGGTTCGCAATGCGATCCAGGTGAGATTGGCAATGCGATCCAGGTGGGGTTGGCCATGCGATCCAGGTGAGATTGACAATGCGATCCAGGTGAGATTGACAATGCGATCCAGGTGAGATTGGCAATGCGATCCAGGTGAGATTGACAATGCGATCCAGGTGGGGTTCACAATGCGATCCAGGTGAGATTGACAATGCGATCCAGGTGAGATTGATAATGGGATCCAGGTGAGATTGACAATGCGATCCAGGTGAGATCGACAATGCGATCCAGGTGAGATGGATAATGCGATCCAGGTGAGATGGACAATGCGATCCAGGTGAGATCGACAATGCGATCCAGATGAGATAGGCAATGCGATCCAGTTGAGATTGGCAATGCGAGTGAGGTGAGATTGGCAATGCGATCCAGGTGAGTTTGGCAATGCGATCCAGGTGAGATTGGCAATGCGATCCAGGGGAGATTGGCAATGTGATCCAGGTGAGATTGGCAATGCGATCCAGGGGAGATTGGCAATGCGATCCAGGTGAGATTGGCAATGCGATCCAGTTGAGATTGGCAATGCGATTGAGGTGAGATTGGCAATGCGATCCAGGTGGGGCTGGCAATGATGCCCCCGCGCAGGTGAGGTTTTGCGCAATACTTCTGGCATGGACTGGACAGGTCAACGCTGGTAACTCTGGCATCTACAGCGCACTAGTCAATGTTGTTTCTTCAGAGTAGTGGGCGCTGTAATCTGGCAGGAGATCCTGGCGAGAGCACAAAGCACCGAGGGAGCGCCTCATCGCGCCTTGTTGCGTCATCCCTCGGGTGTCTCTTTTGCTCTCGCCCTCTCCGCGCAGAACAAACTTCATCCTGTCCCCATTCCCTCGTCAATCTATGGCAGCAAGCTTTTGAGTCGACTCAAAGGCATTCCCTTATTAATCGATGGGACCATTGGAGCAGCAAGCAATGTCCCGCTCTCTCTCTTCCTCCACTGTACTCCCCTCCTCTCTCTCTTCCTCCACTGTACTCCCCTCCTCTCTCTCTTCCTCCACTGTACTCCCCTCCTCTCTCTCTTCCTCCACTGTACTCCCCTCCTCTCTCTCTTCCTCCACTGTACTCCCCTCCTCTCTCTCTTCCTCCACTGTACTCCCCTCCTCTCTCTCTTCCTCCACTGTACTCCCCTCCTCTCTCTCTTCCTCCACTGTACTCCCCTCCTCTCTCTCTTCCTCCACTGTACTCCCCTCCTCTCTCTCTTCCTCCACTGTACTCCCCTCCTCTCTCTCTTCCTCCACTGTACTCCCCTCCTCTCTCTCTTCCTCCACTGTACTCCCCTCCTCTCTCTCTTCCTCCACTGTACTCCCCTCCTCTCTCTCTTCCTCCACTGTACTCCCCTCCTCTCTCTCTTCCTCCACTGTACTCCCCTCCTCTCTCTCTTCCTCCACTGTACTCCCCTCCTCTCTCTTCCTCCACTGTACTCCCCTCCTCTCTCTCTTCCTCCACTGTACTCCCCTCCTCTCTCTCTTCCTCCACTGTACTCCCCTCCTCTCTCTCTTCCTCCACTGTACTCCCCTCCTCTCTCTCTTCCTCCACTGTACTCCCCTCCTCGCTCTCTTCCTCCACTGTACTCCCCTCCTCTCTCTCTTCCTCCACTGTACTCCCCTCCTCTCTCTCTTCCTCCACTGTACTCCCTCCTCTCTCTCTTCCTCCACTGTACTCCCCTCCTCTCTCTCTTCCTCCACTGTACTCCCCTCCTCTCTCTCTTCCTCCACTGTACTCCCCTCCTCTCTCTCTTCCTCCACTGTACTCCCCTCCTCTCTCTCTTCCTCCACTGTACTCCCCTCCTCTCTCTCTTCCTCCACTGTACTCCCCTCCTCTCTCTCTTCCTCCACTGTACTCCCCTCCTCTCTCTCTTCCTCCACTGTACTCCCCTCCTCTCTCTCTTCCTCCACTGTACTCCCCTCCTCTCTCTCTTCCTCCACTGTACTCCCCTCCTCTCTCTCTTCCTCCACTGTACTCCCCTCCTCTCTCTCTTCCTCCACTGTACTCCCTCCTCTCTCTCTTCCTCCACTGTACTCCCCTCCTCTCTCTCTTCCTCCACTGTACTCCCCTCTCTCTCTTCCTCCACTGTACTCCCTCCTCTCTCTCTTCCTCCACTGTACTCCCCTCCTCTCTCTCTTCCTCCACTGTACTCCCCTCCTCTCTCTCTTCCTCCACTGTACTCCCCTCCTCTCTCTCTTCCTCCACTGTACTCCCCTCCTCTCTCTCTTCCTCCACTGTACTCCCCTCCTCTCTCTCTTCCTCCACTGTACTCCCCTCCTCTCTCTCTTCCTCCACTGTACTCCCCTCCTCTCTCTCTTCCTCCACTGTACTCCCCTCCTCTCTCTCTTCCTCCACTGTACTCCCCTCCTCTCTCTCTTCCTCCACTGTACTCCCCTCCTCTCTCTCTTCCTCCACTGTACTCCCCTCCTCTCTCTCTTCCTCCACTGTACTCCCCTCCTCTCTCTCTTCCTCCACTGTACTCCCCTCCTCGCTCTCTTCCTCCACTGTACTCCCCTCCTCTCTCTCTTCCTCCACTGTACTCCCCTCCTCTCTCTCTTCCTCCACTGTACTCCCCTCCTCTCTCTCTTCCTCCACTGTACTCCCCTCCTCTCTCTCTTCCTCCACTGTACTCCCCTCCTCTCTCTCTTCCTCCACTGTACTCCCCTCCTCTCTCTCTTCCTCCACTGTACTCCCCTCCTCTCTCTCTTCCTCCACTGTACTCCCCTCCTCTCTCTCTTCCTCCACTGTACTCCCCTCCTCTCTCTCTTCCTCCACTGTACTCCCCTCCTCTCTCTCTTCCTCCACTGTACTCCCCTCCTCTCTCTCTTCCTCCACTGTACTCCCCTCCTCTCTCTCTTCCTCCACTGTACTCCCCTCCTCCTCTCTTCCTCCACTGTACTCCCCTCCTCTCTCTCTTCCTCCACTGTACTCCCCTCCTCTCTCTCTTCCTCCACTGTACTCCCCTCCTCTCTCTCTTCCTCCACTGTACTCCCCTCCTCTCTCTCTTCCTCCACTGTACTCCCCTCCTCTCTCTCTTCCTCCACTGTACTCCCCTCCTCTCTCTCTTCCTCCACTGTACTCCCCTCCTCTCTCTCTTCCTCCACTGTACTCCCCTCCTCTCTCTCTTCCTCCACTGTACTCCCCTCCTCGCTCTCTTCCTCCACTGTACTCCCCTCCTCTCTCTCTTCCTCCACTGTACTCCCCTCCTCTCTCTCTTCCTCCTCTGTACTCCCCTCCTCTCTCTCTTCCTCCACTGTACTCCCCTCCTCTCTCTCTTCCTCCACTGTACTCCCCTCCTCTCTCTCTTCCTCCACTGTACTCCCCTCCTCGCTCTCTTCCTCCACTGTACTCCCCTCCTCTCTCTCTTCCTCCACTGTACTCCCCTCCTCTCTCTCTTCCTCCACTGTACTCCCCTCCTCTCTCTCTTCCTCCACTGTACTCCCCTCCTCTCTCTCTTCCTCCACTGTACTCCCCTCCTCTCTCTCTTCCTCCACTGTACTCCCCTCCTCTCTCTCTTCCTCCACTGTACTCCCCTCCTCTCTCTCTTCCTCCACTGTACTCCCCTCCTCTCTCTCTTCCTCCACTGTACTCCCCTCCTCTCTCTCTTCCTCCACTGTACTCCCCTCCTCTCTCTCTTCCTCCACTGTACTCCCCTCCTCTCTCTCTTCCTCCACTGTACTCCCCTCCTCTCTCTCTTCCTCCACTGTACTCCCCTCCTCTCTCTCTTCCTCCACTGTACTCCCCTCCTCTCTCTCTTCCTCCACTGTACTCCCCTCCTCTCTCTCTTCCTCCACTGTACTCCCCTCCTCTCTCTCTTCCTCCACTGTACTCCCCTCCTCTCTCTCTTCCTCCACTGTACTCCCCTCCTCTCTCTCTTCCTCCACTGTACTCCCCTCCTCTCTCTCTTCCTCCACTGTACTCCCCTCCTCTCTCTCTTCCTCCACTGTACTCCCCTCCTCTCTCTCTTCCTCCACTGTACTCCCCTCCTCTCTCTCTTCCTCCACTGTACTCCCCTCCTCTCTCTCTTCCTCCACTGTACTCCCCTCCTCTCTCTCTTCCTCCACTGTACTCCCCTCCTCTCTCTCTTCCTCCACTGTACTCCCCTCCTCTCTCTCTTCCTCCACTGTACTCCCCTCCTCTCTCTCTTCCTCCACTGTACTCCCCTCCTCTCTCTCTTCCTCCACTGTACTCCCCTCCTCTCTCCTCCCCTCCCCTCCTCTCTCTCTTCCTCCACTGTACTCCCCTCCTCTCTCTCTTCCTCCACTGTACTCCCCTCCTCTCTCTCTTCCTCCACTGTACTCCCCTCCTCTCTCTCTTCCTCCACTGTACTCCCCTCCTCTCTCTCTTCCTCCACTGTACTCCCCTCCTCTCTCTCTTCCTCCACTGTACTCCCCTCCTCTCTCTCTTCCTCCACTGTACTCCCCTCCTCTCTCTCTTCCTCCACTGTACTCCCCTCCTCTCTCTCTTCCTCCACTGTACTCCCCTCCTCTCTCTCTTCCTCCACTGTACTCCCCTCCTCTCTCTCTTCCTCCACTGTACTCCCCTCCTCTCTCTCTTCCTCCACTGTACTCCCCTCCTCTCTCTCTTCCTCCACTGTACTCCCCTCCTCTCTCTCTTCCTCCACTGTACTCCCCTCCTCTCTCTCTTCCTCCACTGTACTCCCCTCCTCTCTCTCTTCCTCCACTGTACTCCCCTCCTCTCTCTCTTCCTCCACTGTACTCCCCTCCTCTCTCTCTTCCTCCACTGTACTCCCCTCCTCTCTCTCTTCCTCCCTGTTCCCTTCATCCCTCCCTCCCTGCCAGCCAGTCCGTGGTCTGAACAGAGCACAAGGAGATGCCGGAGAAGCTTGTCGTTGCCCTCTCTTTTCCCTTCTGCTTCTCCCTCCTCCCCTGGCCTCTCCGCCTCCCCCTCTCTTCCCCCCCCCCCTCCCCCCACCCCCCTTCTCCCGTTCCACCAGTCCATGGTAGCAACGGAGAAGGAAATGCTCAAGAGGCTCATGTTTCACCCGCTCTGTGTCACGTTCCCTTCCCCCATCTCCTGCTCCCACGCGCCCACTCTCGCCCTTCCTGCCGCCCCTTCCCCAGTCCATGGTGGCCATGGAGCAGAAGGAGATGCTGGAGGAGCTCGCAGCGTCCGTGCAAACCTCAGTTTGAGCCTCACAAGTTACAAGGTTACCGTACTGAAGGCATACCGCAAGAATAGCGGTTGTAGACAACTGGTGGTGATTCATGCAAGTGTGGTCTGGCCTGTGATTGGTTGGAATGGAATGGCTCTCCAGGTGAGACGGATATAGGAAAACCGGAAAGTACCAAACCAAACCTAACTCTAATTTCCAGTGAAGTCAAAACACAGATTCATTGTAACCATATCATACGATACCATAGTGAAACCTGGTTGCTGCGCAAGAGCTCTTGAATGCCACTAGCCCCGATGTGGCAAGGCTGGCATTCCAAGTTCCACAATGTCAGGGCAGGAGTGGGCTGGATAGGCAGCAACACAGAAGCTGCAACCACGCAGCAGATGCTGTAGCATGTTGGCTGGCTCACAACCACCCTACCCTACCCTTGTGTGAATACTCTCTTTTCACGTTACAAGTTGTACCGCACCACAATGGCCTACTGAACGCCCAGGGGCAAGGCAGAGAAGGGGGTCTGCCCTGCATGTGCTCCTCATCTCAGTAGCTGTGGCACTCTATTGGTACGCTTTCCAATGCCAATGCCGTAGCACAGGCACCTAAACGAGCTTGCTGTGTGAGCTGGATCCCAAGCTCCTGCCCTCAAAGCCGATAAAGGTGCGCTCAGGCACCACATTAAACCATCCAGCTGTGGTACAAGTGGACTGAATTGCACATTCCTGCTAGCCCGAGAACAGCTGCTTTTGCCTGTCTTCCTGCTAGCACGAGAAGAGGTTTTTGCTCAGCATCAGAACATTCCGCCCATCCACAAACTTCCTAAACCCTCCCCACCGCTCGAAATTCCGCAGCACCGTGCCGCGGCACCCCTCACACACGCCCCCTCCCTCATGCAACTCCCCTATAAACACCTGCACCCCTCTCAACACCCGCAGCGACGGCTTGTGCGCAAACACCCTCCGCTCTGCACCCTCGATATCCATCTTCACCAGATCAAATCTCGGGATGCCATACGCTGCCATTATTGCCGTCAGCGTGCTGCCCTGCACCTGCCCCCTCACCCTGCCCTCGCACGTCGGCCCTGCTCCCACCAGCCTCTCCTGATACCTCGTCCTCTCTCTCTCCCTCACCCTCTGTTTTTGCCCCTGCCCGCCTCCCCACTTCCCCTTGCTGCCGCTCCCCCCTCCGCCACCCCCTCCCCCCGCCCCGCTCCCTCCCCCTCCTCCCCCCCCTTCCTCCGTCACAAACCCTAACTGCCGGCTGGTATTCGCGAACGGCCAGTCAGCGTCCCCCGGCAGCTCCGACCGCGACTCGCAGAGGGAGAGCGGCGCAATGCGGTCCCACAGCGCCGCGCGCACGTGGACAATGTTCCCCACGCGCGCGCTGTTCACCACGCCCACGCGGAAATTCTCCGCCTCCGGTTCCACGCGCACCACCAGCGCGCGCGGATACAGCAGCGCGAACGCCAGCGCCGCCATTCCCGTCCCGCCCGCATCTAAAATATATTCAGGCTCGATGGGGATCTTAAGGAGCGCGGAGTACTCGAAGCGCACGAAGTGGTTCCCTAGCGACAGCAGGTCCGTCGAATTGGGTCTTAATCGCCAGTGAACGGCGCAGCAGCCGTGCGCGGCGCACGGGAACTGGTCCACTAAGGCGTGCAGCAGCCCGTCCGGCGCGGGCTTCGTGCCCGCCGTCCACTTGGCGGCGAGCGCGGGGCTCTTGAGAACCGCCAGGTCGATCTGGCTCATCGGGACCGTCACCGCTGAAGACGGCACCACGCCCGCTACAGCCGTCGATGCTGTACCGGCTGCTGCTGATTCTCCGCCGCTTCCGCCGCTGCTTCCGCCGCGGTCGCCGGTTGCGGAGGCCGTTTCAGCGTCGGCAGCAGCGTCAGCGGCGGCGGCGGCGGTGGTTGCCGCCTCCCAAGCGACGACCTTCCAGATCTCGAACTGGCGCACGTGCCACACGATGCCCTCCGTTCGCCAGCACAGCGGACGCCGCCATTCCTTGCTCTTTAGGCACGCGCGGTTCGACTCTGTGCGCCAGTTCTCCCGCTCCTCGATCGGCCGGGTGTCGGCGGGGCGGCGGGGCGGGAGGAGGGAACAGATGATAACGAGGCTAATTATAGCGAGGAGGGAGGCGGCGATTGCTTGCGAGCGGCGAGAGGAGGAGAGGGAATGTCTTAATCTGTGGTAAGAGGACTGGAGGAGAGAGCCGGGAGGGGCGAGGTGAGAGAGCCGAGCGAGAGAATACGCGAGCCATGGGGGAATCGGGGGCCCCCCTTGCTTCCGCTTCATGGCTGCGCACGCATGACAGCGCGGGGATCGAATCCGCGATAAGGGAAGTGAATGAACGGAGAGTCGGGGGGCTCAGGCTAGCGGGCGAGCTTCAATGGTGCCAGTTGCTGGCGGGAAGAGAAAGAGTGGTGCAGGGAAGTGATTGACCAATCAGGCGATGGACCGTCTTTTAGTGACAAGGCGGCGCGACGGAAGAAGCGATGCGAGAGGGAGGAGCGCGCAATGCGACGGAATGCGCAAATGGCGGAAGCGTGGCTGGAGACGAGACGGAAAGGAGGGTGAAAGATAAAAGACGAGAGAGTGGCTTCTGTTAGCAGGCTTTCAAAACAGATGGCGCGAAAGGACCAGCAGAGCAGAGCCCATCATCTGAAGGACCACGGGGTGCAAGTTGCGGAGTTTCTGCTTGTATCAGGACACGCCTAGGATTCGTTAATGTGCAAGGAAAATCCCTTCTCCTTATCTAGTCTCCCTAACATAGAGTACATCCCATACATTCGGAAGTCCAGGCTCGGCCCGACAATTCAGATTCGAACTACGTTCCAGACCCCAAGCCTACACGCGGCGCCACGTCCGACACTTCCAAGTCTCGAGGCGCCCCAAACCACCTCGCGTGTGTTTCGTGGCCTTCCTTGAGGCTCCCTTTCTACGTCAGCTGTGCTCGTATTTAGCCACGTGCTTCATTTGTACTCGAGACACTTTAATCACGACCTCACTATTGCATTACTCGACTCCTATCCGGAGATTATCACAACAGCTGGTATCAAAGCTACGTTCCTACCCATTTAGGCCTCCATAGAAAGGTAGATTTTATGGGGACCCCGCACGTTAGGAGACAAGAGTTGTCCAGCAGTCGTGCAGGAACTTCTTCAGTTCCGCCGGCTTTGTCGTGTGCGCTCCACATCTCTAACGCTGCAGGTGCCCGTAGTGCCTTAAATGGCGTTAGTTAGCTATGGTAATTCATAGTCAATAGCGCGTCAGTGCTGACGATGAAGGTCGACGAAATGATGGCGAAGATGGAGGCCATGGCCCTGGAGCTCGCCGCGTTGAAAGAGGAGAACGCGAGCCTTCAATAGGCGCATACTGCGACGCGTCAGGGGTCGTCTGTTACCGTGGACGAAAATAGTGCGAGCGTGCATCAATCGCAGGCGACGTCAGTGACACGTGACGACAGTTCGAGCGAGCGACGGACAGTTGTGGATATCAAACATGCCATGCCCCTGCCGTTCAACCCACTAGAGAAGCACACCACACTGAGTGGGTGGCTATTTGCCATACAACTGCTCTTTAATGTCGCTGATGTCAACGACGATGAAACACACGTAAAGTTTGCAGTGTCTTTATTACGCGGACCTGCATTAAGTTGGTGGCGGCAGTACGTGTCTTCACGAGGGACTCCGGCAGACCGGCAACATGCGATGGACGGGGAGCAACGATTGGCTTCGACTTCTACATGATCCTTGTTTGGTGTGGCCGAGTTCCTTATCTAGCAACAGTTGGGTGCACTGCTTCGCAAGCGCTTCGAGCATGTATCCGCATGCGAAAACGCTCGTGTAAAGTTGCACGGGTGGCGTCAAATGGGTTCTGTTCTGGAGTAGACGTCAACCTTCATCGCTATCTGCGACGAAATTGACGATCTACACGAGACGGAAAAAACGAGTCGATGCATTCTAGGGCTGAAGCCGGAGGTCCAGTGCGAAATTCGCATGCGCCGTCTCTTCGACATTCTTGGAGGTGCAGCATGTCGCAGAGGCGTGTGACAAGAATAGTGTATGACGGAGGACGAATTTTCGGGAGGGAAGTCGTTTTCGAGGGCAGAACATCAACGGCGATACCGCTAGATAACAGATTCTATAGCAGGTGTTATATATGTGGCCAGCCGGGGCACATCATGCGGGAATGTCTGGAGTTGCAAAAATCGGGAGCTAGCGACAGAAGGAAGCCAAGAAATGGAAGCCAAGAAATGGGCCCCTTACTGATAAGGCTTCGTCGCCCAAAGATCATCATTCCCACGGAGTAGTAGTGCCGATTTATGTGATCAACCACACCCGGTTAAAGGGGAGTGAACCCGTTGACGGCCCTGTGCTGATGGAAGGGCGCGTTGGCAATACAAGATAAAAAATATTCCTAGATGGTGGCGCATCACACAGTCTGTTCGATGTAACAAGAGCGAAGAAGCTACAGCTGCAAATGGATAGGTGCATGCCCGAAATTGATGCGCAGTTGGTTGACGCCACGCCACTTGCAATTCGGGAGCGGGTGAAATGCATTCGCATTGATTGCGACAGCCACGTCAGCTTCGCGCTGAAGATGCTGGCGACAACATTGGACGTCTGCAATGTGCTCTTGGGCCGCGATTGGCTTCACACGTACAATTCGAGTATCGATTTAAGGAAAGGCGACATTCGTTTGAAGTGGGGTGGTGAGTGGCGATGACTGCCAAAATGGAAACCACCCGACCTTCAGTCAACATTGGTTAACAATGTGAATATCAAACGTGTGATGATACGTGGCGTGGATGTCTACGCCGTCCAATGGATCGCATCAACAGAGGTAGCTGAACAAACCGACCTGGAGAAGCTATGTGCCGCTGTACCTGAGGACCTGGCGAAGATGATGTGAAAATTCGAGAATATATTTCCCGACGACCTGCTGCCCGGACTACCCCTCGAACGATCACACGATCACAAGATTGAGCTGGAACCAGGAGTGCAACCGACCGTCCGATCGCAATAGAGAGTGAGTCAACCGGAGCTTATGGAGCTGCGTACGCAACTGGATTACCTTATGAAAAACTCCAAGGCGCTGAACAGATTTACCCGGTTCACAACAAGGAAATGCTCGCAATTGTATACGCTTTCAAGACCTAGCGCTGCTACCTATCAGGTGACGATTTTACTGTCCGAACAGACCACAAGTCCCTACAGTTCCTCCGAGCCGAGCCGATCCTCAATCCACGTCAGATCCGTTGGCTCGAATATCTCATGTCCAACTTCCACTACCGAATCACCTACAAGGAAGGGGCAAAAAATATTGCCGATGCCCTTTCTTGCCTTAGTGCCCATACAGCCGCCGTACTAATCGCCCAAACTAATCCGCTACTAACTGGACTATTTACTCATTGCTATAATACTAGCCCCATTTTCACCTCTAACGACTATCAGGCCATGACCACTCAACGAGGCCATTACTACCTAAAAGCTGGTACTGACCGAATTTGGGTTCCATCCTACCAATTGTTACAGGAATTACTAATAGATGAGGTTCATGACGCTAATTACTCATGACATTTCGGGGTTGACAAAACCTTGAAGATGCTCCAACGTCATTCTCACTGGTCGAATGCGAGTCAGGACGTGCAACAATATGTGGCCTCATGTCCCGCCTGCCAGCTGATAAAATCCTTTCGCCAAAAACCAGCTCGATTACTGCAGACCGACGCATCCCAGATTGATGCAGTACTCATGGGCGTTGATCGACTCATGAAAATGGCTCATTTCGCGCCATGCCGAACGACGATCACAGCCGAACAAACTGCCAAGCTATTCATCTCAACCGACGTTCGCCTGCACGGAATCCCGAAGTCGATCGTGAGCAATCGTGACCCCAGGTTTATGTCCAACTTCGAGCTGAGTCTGGCGTGACAACAGCACCGAACCGGACACGAGCCCTCGATTTGGAGCTGCTGCAGTCATTCGAGCAACCCAATTCATTTTGCCATCGAACTGGAACTCGATCCGCTTGTTGGTCAGCAGACCTCAAGCTCGAACCCCCAGAGCGGTGCGATGGGGAAAGCGTGCGGCTGTGACGACTCGACGCGTGTTCTTCCTCAGGGATGGCGTGTCCCGCGCGTTCGTCTAATATTCTCACTGTCCGGAACGGTTCTCGTGCTTCACCACTTTAAACCGCCCCGCACCAGACTGGAACGTTTGACACGCCTTAAAGCGAACGCGTTGGACACGCCTTAAAGCGAGGGTCTCAAGAAGCAGAAAACCAAATCCAAAGGTTTTGGTTTTGGGTTGACGAACTTTGCGAAACAGTTACAGCGCCCAACCAGCACCCCTTACCACACCTCGCAATTTTCGAGACCCCCCGAAACCAAAACCTTTGGGTTCGGTTTTTTGCTTCTTAAGACCCTCGCTTTAATGATGCTCGAGCTCTGGCCCTCGGAGCAAGCCTCTGATCGGGCCATTATATGCCAGGTCACAACCACTACGCGAAATGTCACGGATAGTCACTCAGGTATCACGAAGAGTCACTTTTGGTGGCAAATATATGACAAATGGTCACTAAGTATCACGAATCATCACTCGGTTGGGGCATCAGCTATCACGTTCGGTCACAATTATGGAAAGGTTGAAACTTTATGCGTGAAAATAAAGTTTCAGCCTTTATATAATTGTTTGGGCATTTATATGAGGGGTCACAAACACTAGGCGTGCTATCACGTTTAGCCATTCGGCTATCACGAACAGTCACTTTTAGTGGCAGTTAGTCAGACGGTTAGTGTTGACAGTCTGGCGAAATCACTTGGAAATCAGTCGCACACAAAGGACGAGGCCACACGCGACTGAACACTGTGCGAATATTAACAGTAGCTCAGCGCCCGTGGATTTTTTGGCGGGAGTTTCAGCTTTCCAGCGGTTGTTTCATCTTGTGACCGAACGTGATGGCCTTGGGCCCCGAGCGAGTGATGACTCCTGATAATCGTGTGACTAACCGTGATAGATCGCCACTAAAAATGACTGTTCTTGATAGCCGAATGACTAAACGTGATAGCACGCCAAGTGTTTGTGACCCCTCATATAAATGCCCTAATTGTTTCATCTTGTGACTTAACGTGATAGCTGATGCCCCTAACGAGTGATGAGTCGTGATACTTAGTAACCAACCGTGATAGATTTGCCACTAAAATTGACATTTCGTGATAGCTGAGTGACTCTCCGTGACATCTCGCGTAGTGGTTGTGACCTGGCATGTAAATCCCCCCTCTTATCAGAGTGAGCATCGCTGGTCCCAAATTCCGGGTCTGGTGGTCCTGCTTTCCACTGCGTTTCTCTCGCCATGGCGGTCGTCGAGCAGCTTCGCGACTTCCTGAATGTCCAGGCGGAGCGCGCGCGAATCTACAGCGCTTTTGAAGGGTGCGCAACGCAATTTCAGCCGGAGCATCTGAGCAATCTGGCCCGGGTTCCGTCAGTTGTTACATCCGATGTATCAAAATTAGCCGTATCTCTCGTTAGGCCCTCATCTCTTCAAGAATAGCGGCCCGTTGATTATTCTCCTAGTAATAGCAGTCGAAACTCGATGAAATTCGATTGCCAGGAAAAATAGCTGCGGGAGCACAAGCCTTCCGTCCATCGTCTCCTTCCCCCATCTGTGTCTTCCCAGAGCGTTTGTGGAGAACCTCTCTGGAGCCTCGCCGGATTCCGCCTTTCACCGCACCTGCCAGGGGATTACCACCGAGTTCAGCCGCTGCTCGCAAAAGGTACAGTGATTCGTAGCTGATAAAATATCTCAGCCTGTCCATAGCCTGACAGAAGATCTTGTAACGAAGCTTCTGGCTATGATTTTTATTGCCGGGGGGGTTAAACAAAAAAAAACTGTGTGCTTTCCGACTTATCAAATGGCTGCTGCTCTTGCCGCTCTGCGCTCTTGCCGCCCTGCTGCTCTTGCCGCCCTGCTGCCCTCTACACCCTGTAGCTCTTGACGCCCGTCCCTCTTCAGGTGCGGGATGTGGAGGCTCAGGTGAGAGCCAAGTGACATCTGAGTCGACCCAAGAGGTCCCACCTCATCCCAACCCTCGGCTCAATCATCAGGTGCGGGAGGTGGAGGCACGGCTGCGATCAGAAGATGTGGGGCGGGCGGATTTGGCGGACATGCTGAGGAGAGTGCAGGAGCAGGAGAGGGAGAAGCTGCATCTGGTGAGATGTGATGCGGTGCACGGGGGTGGGATGAGATGGCATGGCATGGCATGGAATGGGATCATGGGATACCATAGTATGGTGCGTAGCTGCGTGCGAGTGTGTGAGTGTTTGCATGCATGCGTGTGCAAGCGCGCGCACGTGTGTGTGCGTGTGCGTGTGCGTGTGCGTGTGTGTGTGTGTGTGTGTGTGTGTGTGTGTGTGTGTGTGTGTGTGTGTGTGTGTTACCCTGCAAATGTACAAGTGTTTCTGTCCGTCGTCACCCCATACATCAACCAGTGGCCTTTATTCGCAGGCGGTCATTCATTCCAGCGGTCACGCATTCGTCCTTCCAGATCACCGTTTCATGATTCTCCCCTTGCTGTCCCCCACGTGAACGGGAAAAATCCATGCCATCCCCATCACCCCATGCTTTCTCCAACACCCCATGCCATCCCCATCACCCCATGCTTTCTCCAACACCCCATGCCATCCCCATCACCCCATGACATCTCCATCCCCGCATGCCATCCCCAACCCCCCATACCATGCGATGCCCATCACCCTATGCCATGCCATGGCCCAGACGGCCGTGCATCACGTGCTGCGCAAGTCCCTCCGCCCGTCCGACCGCTCACGTGCTCAAATCGCCTCCATTCTGCCGCACCGCCACGTCAACGCTCAGCAGTACTCACAGCAGCAGGCACAGCCACTTGAAGGGCAACCGCAGCAGCAGCAGCAGCAGCAGCAGGAGGAGGAGGAGGAGGAGGAGGAGGGCGAAAGAGGAGGTTCAGGGGACGGTGAGCGTGCTGCTGATGATGGTGATGTACGGATGGACGTGGATGGGAAGGACGGCAAGGCAATCACGTTGGGCGGCAGGCAACAGACAGTTTTGGACGCAAGTAGAGACACATGCACGTCACACGATGCAGGGAACAGGAATGGAGGCACAGATAAGGGGGTCGGCACGAGGGGGCTTGCAGCTGCTGAGGCTACGGCTGGGGAGGAAGAGGCAGAGGCAGCCTCATCTGGCGCGGATGGTGCCGTTGCCCGTGAACTAGCCAACGCCTCCCTGTCCTCCCCCGATGCCCACGATCGAACAACCGCCCCAGCCCCCACTCAGTCCCCTGCTGAAGCCCAATCACGTGCTCACGCAGGTGGCCCCCTTGCAGAGGCCCCTCCCTCACGAGGGGGACCCTGGGTTGAGGGGCTGCGTGGCACGTCAGGGCCCCACCAGGGGATCCCTCCAGAAGCAGCAGCGGCAGCATTCTTTGCTGCGCGCAAAGCGGGTGGCTGTGGGTGTGGGCGCAGCAGCAGCACCGCTGCTAGCGGCACGGGGAATAGTGCAATTGGCGCAGGGGATTCAGAAGGAGAGGAGGGCGAGGAGGATGAGGAGTTCGCCGTGGCGCGTCTGGATGCGGAGTATGATGCCGCTGTGGCGGAGGTCAGGCAGGCACTGGCGCGCATAGTGGGCGAGATCAATGAGGCGATAGAGGAGGTGCGATACGAGGTGGCAGAGCTGATGGGGGAGGATGAGGAGGAGGATCCTTAGGGGCGCTGATGTGTGAGTGTGGTGATACTGTGGCGGAGGCCGGGCTGGCACTGGCACGCCTGGTGGGTGAGAGCAATGGGGCGATAGGGGAGGCGAGGTACGAGGTGGCAGAGCTGATGGGAGGGGATAAGAACGATGATTTGTAGCGGCGCTTTTGTGTAACGCAGGCGTTAGGTGGCACGCACAGTGGGTGGAATCAATGAGGCGATGGACGAGGTCCGAGGTAGCAGAGCTGGTGGGGGGGAAGACGAGGGTCAGTTGAAGCGGTGTTGTGGCAGAGGCACTGGCGTGCATAGTGGGGGGGATCAGTGACGGCTGGAGGGGGTGCGATACGACGACGTGGCAGAGGTGGAGGGGGTGGACGACGACGGTTAATTGGAGTGGTGGTGCTGTGGCGGAGGTGAGGCAGGCACTGGGCCAGTGGGCCACTGGCGCGCTTAGTGGGTGGAATGAATGAGGCGCTGGAGGGGGTGCAGTACGACGAGGTAGCAGAGGTGGAGGGGGGTGGTGATGAGGTTGGGTGATGAGGTTATTCGGGCTGTGTGGTGTGGCAGTTTGGCACACACATAGTGGGTCAGGCGTCGGAGGAGATGGAGCATGATGTAGCAAAGGCCGTGGGAATTATGAAGAGGGTTGATAGTAGTGCTCATGTGTGAATGTTGTGCTGGAGCCGCAACACCCAGTGAATTGGCAGCAACACAGCGCCATTTGGAAGGAAGGCAGTAGCACCCAATGAATCGGGGTAAAACTAGCATCGATGCTTCATGGTAGTTAAGGGCGTATTCCTAGCATCCTGGATCAAGATCAAGAAAACGGGGCTGATCCTGGCTGGCAACATAGAACGCCAGGATCAGGAAAACGCTGTAGCCACGTCATGTCACACATGTGTCTGCCTATTGGATGTCTATATAAGCTCACCCGCAGGCCCCCAAATTGGTTTTGGGGTTGTCTGATTCGTCAGACTTGCCTGCCATTGTCAAACATGTGTATTTGTCATGTTTGTATAGACTGTATAGAGTCACCTCTTAGAGGATACAAAACTTAGATATATTTGTGTGTACTCTCACTTTACAATTATTCAATTATTCTGATGTGGTATCACGCGTAGGTAGGATCCCCCCCCCCCACCTACCGCTTCCGCTCATGCCCCCTAGCGCCCCTCCTGGGCCCCGTCGCGCTCCTCCCAGGCCCCGTCGCGCTCCTCCCAGGCCCCCTAGCGCCCCTCCTGGGCCCCATCGCGCTCCTCCCAGGGCCCGTAGCGCCCCTCCTGGGCTTCGTAGCGCCCCTGCCAGGCCCCGTCGCGCCCCTTCTGGGCTTCGTAGCGCCCCTGCCAGGCCCCGTCGCGCCCCTCCCAGGCCCCGTCGCGCTCCTCCCAGGCCCACTAGCGCCCCTCCTGGGCCCCGTCGCGCTCCTCCCAGGTCCCGTAGCGCCCCGTCGCGCCCCTCCTGGGCCCCGTAGCGCCCCTCCTGGGCCTCGTCGCGCCCCTCCTGGGCTTCGTAGCGCCCCTCCTGGGCCCTGTACCGCCCTCCCAGGCCCCGTCGCGCCCCTCCCAGGCCCCGTCGCGCCCCTCCCAGTCCCTCTAGCGCCCCTCCTGGGCCCCGTCGCGCTCCTCCCAGGCCCCGTAGCGCCCCGTCGCGCCCCTCCTGGGCCCCGTAGCGCCCCTCCTGGGCCTCGTCGCGCCCCCTCCTGGGCTTCGTAGCGCCCCTCCTGGGCCCTGTAACGCCCTCCCAGGCCCCGTCGCGCCCCTCCCAGGCCCCGTCGCGCTCCTCCCAGGCCCCCTAGTGCCCCTCCTGGGCCCCGTCGCGCTCCTCCCAGGCCTCGTAGCGCCCCTCCTGGGCTCTTTCGCGCCCCTCCTGGGCTCCGTGGCGCCCCTCCTGGGCCCCGTCGCGCCCCTCCTGGGCCCCGTAGCGCCCCTCCTGGGCCCCGTCGCGCCCTCCTTGGGCCCTGTAGCGCCCCTCCTGGGCCCCGTCGCGCCCCTCCCAGGCCCCGTCGCGCCCCTCCCAGGCCCCGTAGCGCCCCTCCTGGGCCTCGTCGCGCCCCTCCTGGGCTTCGTAGCGCCTCTCCTGGGCCCCCCCGTCGTGCCCCTCCTGGGCCCCGTAGCGCCCCTCCTCGGCCGCGTCGTACCCGTCGCCGCCGCTCGGCCCCGTCGTGCCCGCCCGGCGCCGTCGCGCCCGCCCGACCCCGTCGCCGCCGCCCGGCCCCGTCGCGCCCGCCCGGCGCCGTCGCCGCCGCCCGGCCCCGTCGCGCCCGCCCGGCGCCGTCGCACCCTGCCCGGCCCGTCGCGCTCGCCCGGCCCCGTCGCAGCCGCCCGGCCCCGTCGCACCCGCCCGGCCCCGTCGCACCCTGCCCGGCCCCGTCACAGCCGCCCGGCCCCGTCGCACCAGCCCGGCCGCCGTCCCGCTCGCCCGGCCCCGTCGCACCGGCCCGGCCCTGCCGCACTCGCCCGGCCGCGTCGCCCCAGCCCGGCCCCGTCGCGCCCGCTCGGCCCCGTCGCCCCGTCCCGGCCCTGTCGCATCAGCCCGGCCCCGTCGCGCCCGCCCGGCCCCGTCGGGCCAGCCCCGGCCCCGTCCTCCTCACTGGTACGGTCCCCTCCCCCCCCCCCCCCCCCCCCCCACCCCGCCCTGCTCCGTGCCGCCCTGCACCGCACTGCACCGCACTGTATCGCACTGCACCGCACTGCACCGCACTGCACCGCACTGTACCGCACAGTACCGCACTGCACCGCACTGCAACGCACTGTACCGCACTGCACCGCACTCCACCTAGCTGCACTGCCCTGCACCGCACTGGACTGTTCCTGATGGCGGCGGAGCTTCGCTTCGACGCTGAAGGTCAGCCCCTAGAGTTCGAGGCGTGGCTTGCCGACCTCCGCCGCCAACTCACTGGCCAGCGGCAGGATGGTGAACCGCTTTCCGCACACCTTGACGGTACGCTCCCCTGCCCAGACCCTCCTTCTATTCTGCCCGCTGACCCCACACCCACTGAGCGTGAGTCTACTGCTGCCACTGCCCGTGCGCGCTCTGTCTGGCTTTCTCGCGATGCTGTCGCCCAGCTTGCCATTAGCAACGCCCTCCGCCCAGCGTCCTCGCTTTAGGTCCCTCACTACTGCTCAGGCATACTTAGATGCTGTCATCAAGCGCTATTCCACCCCTCCGGCTGCCTCAGTGGGTCGCCTGATCCTCCCGCTGCTCTTTCCTGACCTTGCTTCGTTCCCCACTGTCTCTGACCTCGCTGCCCACCTGCGCTCGATAGAGGAGACCTGGCGCGCCGCATGCACTGACGCACAGCTTAGAGCCCACCAGCCGCCCATTACCTCTACCCTCTACCTGCTTGCCACCCGCCTCCCTGACCGCCTTGCTGTCGCCCGCGACCGCTTTCTTAGTGTTCACCCCGCAGACCTCACCCTCACTGACTTTGTCGACACCCTGACTGTGATAGAGACCCGTCACCGCTCCATCGCCTAGGCGAGCGGTGTCGTGCCGGTCCCTATCTTTCAGGGTTGTGCCCCCGCTCAGTGTACCTTCTCCGACGGCTCTGCCGCAGTGGCTGAGACTGCTGCTGCAGCGCAGGCCCGTTCTGGGAAGGGCCGCCGCCCCAAGGCTGGGCGCGGCGGAGGGGGCGGCGGGGGTGCGGGCGGGGGTAGTGGTGGGGTCGGGTCGCCTGGTGCTGGAGCGGACGAGGGGACCCTGCCCAGTCCAGCTGAGTCGCCGCCCCTGCAGTTGCAGCAGCCGCAGCAGCCGCCGCAGTCGCAGCCTTCGCCGCAGCCGCAGCAGCCGTCGCAGACGCGGCAGACGAGTGTTCTCCCGCCAGGGTGGCCCGGCGCTGGCGGTGGACGGGCGCGTGGTGGTCTGCCGCGTGGTGGCTCTGCCGGTGAGCGTTGTCAGTACCAGATCCAGACCGGTCCTCGCCGCGGTTTCGTTTGCGGTAAGATCGGTCACTCCACTCCCCGCTGCTTTCGTCGCCTGGACGACCTCTTTCGTCAGCGTTTCGGCCCGTCGCCAGACCTCCCGGACTGGCACAGTTTGCTTAGTCGTCAGATTCAGATCTTTGATATGGACATGGATGCCATTGTTTCTGCTCTGCATGTGATGTATGCTGATGACTCTAGTGTGCTTCCGACTTATTACTCACTGTTGCCTAGTGTAGGTGTGCCTAGCTTAGCCCCCCCTGCTGCGTCAGGCGTAGGATCCCCTGCTTTGTGTAGTCTTGGTGCTTCTGCCGTCGTTCCGTCGCCAGACCCCTCGGCTTCGCTTTCCTTCACCTTGGACTCTGGCGCCTCTCGGTGTTTCTTCCGCGACTCCACCACCCTGACGCCGCTTCCTGTTCCTGCTGCCGTTTCTCTTGCTGACCCCTCCGGCGGTCCGGTAGTCGCCCGCAGTTCCACCACCCTTCCCTGTCCGGCGGTTCCTTCGGGCTCTCTTACAGGTCTGCATATCCCCTCGTTCTCCAGGAACCTAGTTGGTGTCGGCTGCCTCCAGGACCTTGGCGTCACCACTACGTTCCCTGGTCACGAGCGGTATGCTGTCTGTACCGAGGCCGCCACTGGTGCCCCCCTGTCCACGTTCCCCCGGGACCCGGTGTCCGGCCTGTTCACTCTGGACACCGTGCCCCCCCCGGCTGGAGCGCCCCCTCAGGTGGCTGTGTCTACCCAGGTTGCTGCTGCCTGCTCCTGTCGCTCCCTCACTCACCCGACCCTCCTGTGGCACCACCGCCTAGGTCACCCTGCGCTCCTGCGTCTGCGTCACATGTCCCAGCACGGTCTTGTCCTTGGTCTCCCAGGTTCACTCCCCGCGTTTCCCTCCTCCCCAGCTCCACCTTGCACGCCCTGTGTCGAGGGTCGGCTTCGCCGTGCCCCTCACTCCTCCTCGTTCCCCCCTACCGCCGCGCCGCTGCAGACCCTGCACCTGGACGTCTGGGGCCCCGCCCCCGTCCCTGGGCCGCGTCGCGAGCGCTACTTCCTTGTGCTTGTCGACGACTTCACTCGTTACACCACAGTCTTTCCCCTGGAGCGCAAGGCCGACGTGCCTGGCGCCCTCATCCCCTGGCTTGTCTCTGCGCGTGTCCACCGCGGTCTCCCTGTCTTGCGTCTTCACTCAGACCGTGGTGGCGAGTTTGCCTCAGGTGTCCTTGGTCGCTTTTGTCGTGCGGAGGGCATCACCCAGACATTCACCCTACCGGACTCCCCACAGCAGAATGGGGTCGCTGAGCGACGCATCGGCTTGGTCATGGAGGTCGCTCGCACCTCCATGGTCCATGCCGGTGCACCCCATTTTCTGTGGCCGTTCGCTGTGCGCTACGCTTCTCACCAGCTTAACCTGTGGCCGCACCCTCAGCAGCCGCAGGTTTCACCGACCCGTCTGTGGACTGGGTCTCCTGGTGACGCGTCTGCGTTCCACGTCTGGGGCTGCCTTGCTCACGTCCGTGCCTCCGGCACGGACAAGCTCACTGCCCGCACCCTTCCCTGCGTCTTCCTCGGTTTTCCCCTTGACGCGTCCGACTGGCACTTTTACCACCCGCCGTCTCACCGCTTCTTTCACTCTCGTGACGTCACCTTTGACGAGTCCGTCTCCTACTACCGCCGCTTCCCCCACCGTGGTCCCCCGGTTACCCCCCCCCTGTTCCTGGTCACCCCTTCCCCGGTAGGCCCTGCCCCTCCTCCTCCTCCTCCCCGTCCCGCCCCCTCTGGTGTCTCCCATGTCACCCCCCTTCCGTCCGTGGACCCGGTTGAGGAGTCTTCTGACTCTGGTGGCCCTCCGGTGCAGTCCTCGCCGGCCGCCCCTCCCCAGGTGTCCCCTCCCCAGTCCCCTCCTCCGCCGTCCCTGCCGCCACTGCAGCCGTCGCCGTCGCCGCCGCCGCCGCAGTCGCAGCCCCCGTTCGCTGACTCTGGGGGTGCTCGTCCCGGTCGCCCTGAGGGTGGTCCCTCTGGGGGTGCGGGTGTGGAGCGTGCCGGTGGTAGCCGAGGAGCAGCTTGCGGTCCC